CGAATGCTGGCTGGGGAATTCTGGGAGTTGAAGTCCGGACATCTTCAAGTTGCCAAGGTTGAGAAACACTGCTATAGTGTATTCTCAGGATCCAGAAAGATAGTGTAATCTGTCTCAAATCAGTGTCTGCTCCATGTCAATCCAGAAGCAGTCCTATTCAAACATGTCTCCAGACCCACACTGTGATTTGGAAAAACAGAAACACCATCATCTCTCAAGAACTAGTTTGCTTTACTTTACTTTATTAGTCTAATCAAATTTGAGGGAAAGCCATGGCATGCCAAACCCACATAATGGGTTTGCATATCACGTTAAGCCACAGTGAGGTTTGTTTGGCTTTGGATTAGAAAGTTAAATGAATCCCAACAATGTAATTTTAAACCATAGCATAGTCCATTGTGGAAACTCCTCTCTGCGGTTATGAAACAGGCACTACAGCATGTAAATCAGGCAATGAGTCAACAGAAGAACAAATGGTAGATGAAAGTTATATACATTCCAGAAACTCCATCCTACTGTGTTTACTGGGGACAGTGGTGGGATTCAGCCAGGTCCGGGAGAACCGGTTGTTAACTTTCTAAGCAGTTTAGAGAACCGGTTGTTGGAAGAAATCTCATTTTGTTTTTCCCCATTTTCGAGGGCTAATCCTGTAAGGAAAGCAGGAAGGAAACATTCTGGTGTTGTTTCTAGCCTAATCTGTATTGCTCTGCTTACAGAAACTGCCTCTCCAGTTAACCCTCATTGCATTATAACAGCTCAGGCAAAGTGCTCATCGACCTGAGTGATGTTGAGTTGGCCACGCCCACACAGTCACATGACCACCGAGCCAGGCCTACCCATTAGGGCAGAGAACCAGTTGTTAGATTATTTGAATCCCACCACTGACTGCGGAGTATTTTTGCTGTTACACTAAATCTTAAAGGTTGCAAGTTTAATTTAGTAAGGGAATCAATGCTGTTATTGAAATTGCTTGATTCCCTTACCTCCAGTATATGGATTTATTTCTATTTTATTAAAACAATTGCTAATTAACATAGAGTTATTGATACAAAATGCCTTTCAATGAAGTTCAAAAGGTAGATATTATTGCAGGAAAGGAAGTGATTTAGTAGTTTCAACATGTGTTCATTTTATGTTCAAGAAAAAGTGATTGATATCCAGATAGAGAAACAGGCCTTCAAGCCGGAACTCTTGAAGAAACTTACCTATGTCTTACTCCTCAAACCTTATCATCATGCAACCAAATCTCAACTGAAGATGCTTTTTGAAATGGTCAAGTCCCCTTGTGCTGGTAAGTAACTAGCATTTTTTTTCTTACTGCCAATTCAAATATGAAGCTTAGATGCTATGTAGCTGCTCCCTCTTATGTCAGCCATAAACAGCAGGAGAAACTCCATAGTTTAACACTGATATTTACATGTTAATGGTAGCAGTATAGCATTTGGTCCAGCTTTTATCAGCACATTTTTAAACTATGCAGCCCATGCTAAACTATGCTAAAGAGTATCCTTCCCATTTTCTTGTCCCTATAATTACAACATGAGGAAATAAGCAAGCATTGCAGAGATGCCCCTAGACGCCTAGAGCGCTGACAGAATGTGATGAAAAGGACTCTTCAAACAGAAGAGAGAGTACAATAAATAATTCTTACAATGCTAATATACAACCTGAACCCTTTGCAAAGTTAGGCAAAAATTCTGAAGGCAGATGAATGTGAAGATGGTAAAGCAGAAAACAGTACAAATTGAAGTCAGCAAGAATAGCATGGGCAAAGGTCCAGTATGTTGTTAAAGTGGTTATAGGTTGGATTAAAATAATTTAAAGGACTTGAAGGTTATAATGCATTGTAATTAAAATTGCAATTACTGTGGAAGTAACTCATAATTAAGCTACACTATATGTGAAACATCATTGATCCCTTATTCTTTTTTTAAAAAAATGTTGCAGATAGGGCTAACAGACATTCAGATGCAAAGTGTGAAGTCTCAGAGGTACCATTAATGGAACAGGTAAGCAATGGTGTTAAATGTACAAATAAGGGTGTGTGATAAAATGGTGGGGCTATCAAGTGAAGGATGTTACTATAAGACACACAAACATCAACTTTAGAAACAGTGGTCTAAGTGTGGTCTAACCAGAGCAGAGTGGAAAAATTACTTCCTGTGATCCAGACTGAGTATCCTGTTAATGAACTTGGTAGTATTTGCTTGTTGAGCAACTCACAATCTATCTCATATTTAATTTGTAATTAACAAAGACATCCAGATCACTTCCACATAAAGTACAACCAAACCAAATACTTGCACTTTTATTTTGCTTACCCAGATTAGGAAAAGATAATAGCTGATGGCTTTGAATAATTTTACTAACTTAATCTATCAAGCATTCATGCACTCTGCAAAACTATTTTGCCTTAGTTCCTCTGGAGCAGTGGTGGGTTGCAGGCGGTACGCCCTGGTACTGGTGTACCGGTGCCTGCCGAGAGCACCGGGTACCATTCCGGTATGGTGCTCTGGAGGGCCCGCCCGCCCAAACTCCTTACCTGTATTTGACCTCTTCAGTGCTTCCGCACATGTGCACGGAGCGTACGGCACCTGGGCGATGCTCTGCTGAACAGCTGGAGCGTCATGGAGGCGTTGCGGAGGTAAGGACCCGTGTGCGCATGCTGCGCACATACATGTGGGGGACGCTGGGCCCCATTGCACCATACCGGTTGCAATGGAATCCGGAACCCACCACTGCTCTGGAGACAGAATCATTCACCACTACAACAGTCTCTAGTTTCTCAAGGTGACTTCTGCTGTCAATCAGCAGAGTAACAGGCATTAGTTTGAGCTCTTCCTCTCCTCCTGTCTCTTCTGACTCTTTTGCCAAACTCCTATTTTCTCCTGTTTGCTCAACCTATCTAATTTGAGGTTTATCACATTCGGAAAGTTGAAGCTTTATACTTTTATCGAGGGTACAAGAAGCCATAAACACCTCTCACCCTTTTATTTTACAAAAATATAATTTATCAATTTTTATTATGGTAATAGTATAGTAATATATATTTATTTTTATAAGAATAACATTGCATTCTAATGTCAGACATGTAAGATGCTCTATGTGGGGGTTTGGGAACAGATTAACAATCAAGATCAGAACGGTTGGGTACAATAGAACAACTAAGAGAGGATTACACAGAAAGCAGGTAACCATGTCATGCAAATAATTTCCATATCGTGAAAGCCATATCATGAATAAGAGATGTGTGCTGTGCGGCATTGTCGCCACACTGGAGGGCCGCTCATGTGTCCTTGGCCAAATTGAAAGGAAAACACCAGGCAGAGTTCCTCGGGATGAGCGAGCTTCGAAGTACATTCAAAGACCTCTTTTATTAGAAAAGTTAGTTACAGCATCATCAAAAGGAGCGTATCAAAAGGCATATATAATCACACATGGTACAAGTAAACTAATGAAAAGTTCACAGCATTCTACAAATAAATCAATAGAAAATCACAGCATAGCATAGGGAGGGCAGAGGGGGGAATAGAAAGTTACAAGCTGCATGGCATTGGGAGGGGAAAGGGGGAATAGAAAGTTACAAGCTGCATGGCATTGGGAGGGGAAAGGGCAGGTGTGGGAGTAGCTGGCTCACATAGTTCATGAGGCTGCATAGTGAGTCCTGACTGTTTAGGCTGAAAGATGTTTCTGGTATGATGTCTCTCCATCCCTGTGTGTGTGTGTGTGTTTCAGGCAGGCAAAACCCGCCCTGCACACACACACACACACCCAGAAGGATTCCAACAGTGCTGTTGATGTAACACTGGGTATATTTTCAACATTCCATATAAACCTGTAAAACTCAGGGTTCAAGTGCCAGTTCTGGCTTTCCAAAATTGACTTCGCTTTTGGAAGCCAGCTGGGAAGATTATAAAAGATGATCACACAATGGCAAGATTTTGCAACTGTCGTAAATGCAAGCCGATTGCCAAGCACCCACATTATGACCACATGACTCTGAGGATGGTACAGTGGTTGTAAATTTGATAATGGGTTGTAGGTTACATTTTCTGAAGCTGACACAACTCCAAACTGTGGTTAAATGAACAGTTATAAGTCAAGGGCTACCTTATATCAATAATATATCATTTTATAAAAACTCTCTTTGAGGGAAGAGCTTTTTCTGTGCTCTTCACAAGGTTTGCATTCCTTCTTCCTGTTATAAATGAAGTACAACTAATGATGATCAGGCTGCATTAATGGCAGTGAAGGATGACAGTATTTTCTCAGGAATTCTCAGGAATATTCTAGTATCTTGCTGTTGCTTTCTGCATTCTGGAAATTTGCCAACTGATGAACTGCATCTGATGAAATAAGCAACAGTTCACAAAAGGTTATGCTGTTTAATATAATTAGTCTCCTCCTGATTTTTGGTTTCTTATTCTTAATTTCTTTTCACTGCAGCTAAAAAATCGGTTTAAAAAGAAAATTCCAGCTGGAACTGAAGTGGCCAACATTCTTGTAGGAGAAGCCTCTTTCCTAGAAAAGCCCTTCATTGCTTTTGTACGCCTGCAAAACTCATTGCTTCTTGGAAGCTTGACTGAAGTTGCTTTTCCTAGCAGGTAATCAGAAAGAATAGAAAAGGGGTCAGATGATCTTTATTAAAGACTTTTAGTGGAATAGCAGATTTCAGGCCAATACTGTATGCTTGAATGGAGCAATTCCCTATTAGCATCAAGCATCTCAAATGAAGCTACCTTTGGAAATTAACACAGTCAACTATCTTCTGATATATAACTAGAGCAGCGGTTCACAACCTGTGGATCGCGACCCCTTTGGGGGTTGAATGACCTTTTCACAGGGGTTATATTATATTATATTATGTCAGCATATCGCTCCCAACAACAATCTGGGTCCTCATTTTACCCAACTCGGAAGGATGGAAGGCTGAGTCAACCCTGAGCCGGTGAGATTTGAACAGCTGAACTGCAGAACTGCAGTCAGCTGAAGTAGCCTGCAGTGCTGCATTTAACCACTACACCACCTTGGCTCTAATTAATCACTATGCTTTAATTATGTTCAATTTGTAATAATGAAAATATATCC